AAGTTTTTAAAGGCCCTGAAGAGGTTGAAGAGACCGCTCGTACACCTCGTAAAGGAAAGAGATTCCAGAAGGACCATCATCTGTATTTTCAGTCGATTTTGAGTTCATGCTCTTTGGAATACGCGGAACATGTTCAGATTGCAGGTAATAGTGGTAAATATTCACACTACACCAATGCTACACCTATTGAAATTTCGCTCGATTAGACCCGGTAGGAAAGGAGTTGCGACTGAAAAGTACGGCTGAAGGACCATTTCACCGAAGTCTTTTGAGCACTACTGTAGATGTGGGCAAGAAGTTATTGCAGTTTCATAATTTGTATCATTTTACTTAAGTCTAGTTTTCAACTTCATCTCATAAATCACCTAAATTTTTGTAGAAACAGCGACAGTTTGATTTGTTTTTCAATGTTCATGATATTAATTAATACTCACCGTTTAAGACTCGGAAAATTCGATGCCACACTACTCTTCTGGTTGCAAATTCTTCTTTTTCGTACACAGCCCAAAAATATCCAGCAGTTTTTACGTCATTGAAACCTGAATTAGATGGGAAACAGTAGAATACCGAGAGTGTCCAGTTCCACTTATACGCAGTATCCTTCGTTAACTTAGATATTAATCGAAAAGCACAAGTAGATGAGAATACGCGAACTTTTCAAGAAAAAAGTTTGGATTGCGATGCGACATAAAGTGAAACTGTGAGGATTCAACTGGAACCGCAAAAAAGCTATGGTAGCCGGACCATCTAATCTAATATAGAAAAGTGAATGAGGAAAGGAGTTCCCCGACATTTAAAATTCACTTTGTGATCGTTCATGTGAGATTATTCATCCCATTGACGGCCTCGAAGGGAAATCGTCTGCCTACCGACGGTCTACTGTGGTATTTTAGTTGTTTGTTGTCTATTCTCGTATCTCTGAACGTTTTACAAGGTTTATGACCTATCGAGTCAAGGAATCCTGAGGTGCAGTAGTTCGCCCCCCCCCCCCTTCTCCCCCTCCCACATCCCTTCCGAGGCCGTCAATGGGTTATACAGTTAGAGCTTTACGGTACTTCACTGAAGCAGCGGTACCACTCGCCAGAGACGTTCAAATGCGGTAATGGGTTAAATTAATAGTAGAGCAGGCTTAAGCAATAGCATGGTCTCTATAGGCAACTGCGACCTTCAGAGATGTCGACTTCAATTAAATTGTAAGAAGCAAAAAGCCTTCTGATTCTCAGCGGTGAGCCCTGATATGGTTTCGATTCAGACTAATTTACGACGCGAACGCTCAAGACGAAGTGCGGAGTAGTCCTCTCGATCTCTACGCTATGCTCGTCCGCACAGGTTCAAGGAGCAGAACACCACGAATCGGCTGGAAACTGTGCACACTACCGATTATTGTAGATAGCTCACGAAGGAAATTAAGAATTCGTTACGCACAAAATTTGGGGCAAAGTAGTAGAATCTTTCCTATATTGGGGAGGAAGGCAAGCCTCATTATTATACTCATCAGTTCTTTGATTAGTATGGATGCTTGCTTCATCCTTTCCAAGATTTTTAAACTTCATAAGGCTAATGTTCCATCAAGTTCGCGTTTGTCAGAGCCTGATCGATTCTCTCATAAGACAGACAAACCAAAGGCAGTGCTCCAGACTAGAGGACCACAAATTGCCATGTTCGTTTTGGAACCCACACATAGCTAGCTGATCGCCGAATAATGGAGCAGTTTTCCCCTATTCCTTTATTCCCTGTTATTTTTTGCTGCCGCGATTCCTTATTTAATTTCCTATCCAAGAGGCTGAAAAAAACAGGGCTTTTTTTGACGATATTAGGGATTTTTTTGTTAGCCCATGCTCATGAGTAATGAGTTTTTGCTTACCGTAGGTACCGTAGGTATTCACGCCATGGTCCACACGTACGCAATGATACAATTTGCCCGAATGCCCCAATCTTCTTCATTCTTCAGATCTCATTCTCGTCCAGCCCCCTTTTTAGGATTTTTCGAAACCTTTTTTCGCTTTGGAAGCACCGATTCAAAGTTTTCGCTAATTTGTGAACGAGGGAGACGCCCTGTTTCGCCAATACACTCTGCACTCCAGCCCTGGCATCAAATTTCGATGATGACCCCTGCTCTCATGCAAGCAATCGGAAACAAGCAGTAAATCTAAAGAATCCTCGAAATCAATGCAAACAGAAAATACATGTTTGGATGGGTACCGAAACAATGATTCTTCCGAATCCGATATGACTTTCACAAGCAACGCCGAAGGAAAATTTTCAAAAGTAAAAACCAGAGGAGGAGACGCTGGTGAAGCAAAGGCGAAAAAAAAGGAAAAGTCTTCAAAAAATTCACAGGACAGGTTGAAAGTTTTTTTCACATGAAACATTTCTGATGCATTTCACCTCGTTTAGAGGGCACAGCTATCGGAATAAAATGAGATAGATCAATACATTGCAAAGGGTCCACTTTGTACATCTATGACTTCACCGGTACTTCCCCACTTGACCGCTCCTATTCGAGCTCGTATTGACTGTTGCATATGGCTGTATTAGAATGTACGAAAGGTAACTGCCGGAAAATTTACAAAAGCAGCTTATGGAATGTTTCGGATGTTTCCTAAGAATATTATGAAAAGGCATTACACACGCGTTAGTGCATAACAAAGCCGGAAATTTCATGATACCGCAGTCATTTATCCTGGTCGAGGTTCGTCCAGTCTTCCTTGTTTTCGGTTTTAGTGCATCGGAACACAGAACCGCTTAAAAGGGGCTCAAAGGTCAAATACTACACCCAAGGTCTGAGATTGGACCTTACAAGTGGCTACACTTGAAAAGCCCACTTTATCCATAGGGCATGAAAGAACTCAAGTAGACCAGACAGTGGAAGCCGACTGGTCGTTTAAAAGAAAACGTGAGCCAGTCGTGACGTTGTTCAGACGTTTGAATACTTCTCCTTCCTCCCAGGCCAGATCATTTCGCTCTCCCGCAGCTACGCAAACAAAGAAAATCAATAAGGAATAGATGTTACTAGGGCAATGTATGTACAGGGCGGATGTTCCTCCTCTCCTCCATCCGAAATTCGACATTGTCATGAAGAATTGTACAGCGCTCGGTCCTTATGTACCACCCCGGAACATCTACGGAGCTTTTCAACGGTTAATCTCAAAAGTCGATCTAGGCTCTCCACGTGGTACCTGTATAACGCCAAGTATCCAGTCTAGTAAAACTAGTAAGACTGTGCTGCTCTATAAGAATGGAGATAAAAAGATATTAAAAACGATCGAACAATCTGCCTGCTGTCTGTAATCTACAAGCTTTTCACTCGTGTCATCCTGAACAGGATTGGCAGAATATTATATGGAGGGCAGCCATGCGAGCGAGCAGGGTTTCAGAGAGGATTCAGTACTCGATCTTATCCACACTCTTACAAGACTCATTGAAGTATCGCGAAAGTACAAAATACGGTTATGCCCTACGCTCATCAACTTGGAGGAAGCCTTTGATACCGTCGAGACAGAAGCGGTAATTGAAGCGTTGGGCAACCACAGTGTTCCTACCCAATATGTAGAGATGTTTCGTGAGCTCTGCGACACCTTCATGACCAGGATTGCGCTATTCTATAAGGACGTCATCGTCAACGTGGAGAGAAGTGTCCGGTGATATCATTTCGCCTCAACCTCTCTGTACCGCTCTCAAGAATATTATGCGTCATTTGGAATGGGAAAAGTTGGAAGAAGGTTGGCTACTGGCATCATCCCTGCTTTGTAGATGAAATCATGCTTACATATAACATCCTACATAGAGTAGGCGAAAGAGGGCTGGCCGAATTTGACAACGGCTGTGAAAGAATCGGCCTAAAACCGAACCTAGCGAGGAAAATGTTTATGAGAAGCGGAATTGGTGCCCCTTATGGAACTATTTTTCGATATTTCAGCTACGTGTATCCAAGTGGAGAAGTCTAAATACATAATGAACAACCTAGCCGCGGTGTTGTACAGAAGGAAACGCGAGGCGTGGGATCATTCCAGAACAGTATAGAAGTATTGCTAGAGAAGACTAAGAAAATTCGGCCCGTCTTCTTTTCGACCCTACTGTCCTTCCTGCTTTAAAACACGTCCAGAGACAAGATTCTAAGGAATTAGGATGAGCAAGTAGTAATCGCCATTCAGCGCGCTGGAAAAGACAATGCCCGGAATCCACGATGCACGCAGGCGCAGATGGAAATTTGGTATCCTGAGCTTCTCCAAGAAACGAAGACCAGTGACGCCGTAGCTCACGCCAAGAATCGAAGATCAGGTGGGCCGGACACGCCATGCTATAATGAGACGTTGGACTGAAGCGAATACTAATTGGATTTCTCAGAATATCATACTAACAGCGGGACGGCCACCAAACAGGTGATACATGAATTTCGTCTCTAGATTTGAGATTGATTGAAATCAGACAGGGATTTCCGAAATGATCTTAGGAGAACACTCTTCAATGGCATGGTCAATACTCCTTGACCAATATACGTTTTCAAGTTCAAGAACTCGTTGGATACAAGTATCTAATGAGTGGCTTTCCACGGATTGTAACAATGGAAAATTACTGCCGAAGACTAGCGCGAATCAGTTTTATCTACAGATATATGCAAAGTATCACAGGCATAGGCATAGACGAATGTATAACGTGACAAATGTGTGTTTCTTCTGTAATCCTGAAGATTATGCTTCCATTGCAACCGCTTCTCTCTTTTTACCTTCCTTCTCTGCAAAATAAGAACAGTATCGAAAGCAACCCTACTGGTTTCTTATACGACCAACCTCGTTCTCTGCGGGGAAGCTCGTGAGCTGGGACATCTGGCAGAACCACGTCGCCTACTTGAGCAGCCAGAAGCTGCTCCAACTCATGTTCTGCCTCTTCTACATCAGTAGTGGTCAACTGCCCTGTGAGAAGTGCAGAAATTTCCTGAAAAATTCTTTTCTGATAGCACGAGAAGAGAAACCAGAGCAAACCGAGAACACCGAAACCGAACTTCTTGATACTCTGCCGCCTCTTTAGTTTCCTCCATCAGCTTTTCAATTTCGTCAATGTCGAAGATCTGTAAGTAGGATACTGTGAAATATTGACAGATACGACATGGACCCTTCAAGACTAACCGCGTTCATCTTTTTCAGCGCATCATTTCCTTGACGGAGGCCTTCGACAACCCTTTGTTGGATATCAGCAAATTCCAAGTCATGGACCTTAACTCACGATCAAAAAGAAGAATTAAAGAAACTTTTCAAGTGACTTAATGTGCCTGCTAATGTTTTAGCATATTAGAAATCCATTATATTATAAGTTCAAATTTCAATTCAGAGCTGTTTGGATCCCCCTTCTTTGGAAGCGTAAAGTGAAAAAAACGAAGCCGACGGGGCCCATAGTTTTTGAGACATTGTGCATGCTGAGAGCGCATGCACATAGCGCTTTGACTCATTAACTTCGAAGTTCGATAACATCATCATCTAATGATTTGATTTGTGTCCTATCTTATAAAAAGAAATAATCTCACAAAAAAATTACCCAGACATCCTGTAAGGGCAACTTACCATTCTATCAATATTATCCAACTGCTTGAGTGTTCTTTCAATTACGTTCTCTTGGAATCGCTTCTTTTTCAAAAGCAGGAGTGCTCGACTGTAAATGGAGAAATGAGATCATAGAGAAATTAACTTCAAAATGACAAACAACATACTCCTTTCGACCGTCCTTAATCAGTTGCCGTGCGAGTTCTCTCTCACGCTCCATGCACTTCTCCTTTCTACGAACAAATTGCTTGATCTTATCCCTCTGCACTTTTAGCTGCTGAAAAATAATAAAATGGAAATCTATTAGAAATTACCACATTCACAACATGCCAATAGAGGTATTTCAGATCATATCGGTCTTCCTTTGACGTATATCACTGTCAATACTATGCACTGCGGCAAATTAGGCCAGAAACCCTTTCTCCAAAACCCCGTTGATTGACGATAGTTGTTTTGAGACCATCTGCTCAAGTTATGATAACATCGATACAGGACATGGTCAATCATTAGTCTCTCACCAGAAATGGCTATACCTCGTTTCACACTACCATGACTCCTCGAAGGGCATTGTGGATGACTTCAAAAACATCCATATACTATGCAGGCAATACTCACCGAGCAATGATCTCCTACGATAGTCATTTGAAAGTAAATTTCCAATTTGACGCACCAGGATAGCCTGGTCTTGTTCCGTAATTTCACAATTCTTCGGTGGAGACGGCGCTTTCTTGCTGAATAAACCACCCATTTTTATCTGAAAAGCGTGGTGATAGTTGAGTTAAAAAGCACAACAGAGAAAAATACGCAATCCAACAATCGTCGAAAGAACGCCTATTGAGAGTATAGAGATGGAAGCTTGTATTGAAGGCGACAGTCAAACTTCCAGATTCCTATGATTTTAAAAGTGAATGAAGATGAATATGCATATGCAAATTATATTCTCGTGTAATTGCACTTTACGATGCAACATTAGCACCAAGAGCGTGTCAAAAGAACCAGAGCAATAAAATAAGTTTTTAGAAGTGACTATTTCGGCATCAGAAAGAAAAAAAAGGACTTGAGCAGGTTGTTGTGAAGGCAAATACACATAACTCGTGATCAACCTTTATGGCAGACGTGCAAGCTCGCGATCAACATTGCTATTTGTATGCACTTCGTAGACCCACCTATACAAATATGATTTGGAATAAGTGGTAGAGAGGATCTGCATACAAGTTCAACTTAAAAAAGGTGGACATGGGTTGTTTGTTACTCTATTTCAACATGGAACAGAGAGAGCTGTACGAAAGAAGATTACGCTGGTATAGACCAGGAAAAACTTCCTCAATGGAGCAAAAAAAGATATAGACTATGTAAGTCCTGATGTACGGATCATTACTCACTGTCGATTTCTCTAACTGTCCACAAATCAGTAAACGTTGAGAAAAATGATGGAAAACTGCTCACCAACAAGAATGAACTAATCGGTCCTCCTCTCTTGATCTGATAATGATGTTGTTGCTAATGAATTTATATCGTTTCATTATAATTGATCATGATTCGACAATCCCCATCCATCACTCTCACAACTAATCCAGAAGAAGGTAGCGCCGCCGGACACGAGCATAAGTAAGTTGTGCCTATCATAGTCACGAAATCTACCTGGGTTAGGTGATAAATGGGGCTTGTAAAATCACGATTGATAAAGCAAATGAACAGAAGCCTGACAGTGACCGTAAAAAGAACTACTTCTGTTCTTTGTTAAATTGTTTGGGTGTTAGGTGAACTCACCCTTCGGTTTCCTAGCGAATCTACATAACAGCGTCATACCTTGAATTAAGATGAGAAAATTGCGGAACCCACCACAAAGACGATGCAGATGTGATCTTGTGGCAGCATGGGAATTTGCGGGTGGAAGTACAAGGAGTTAGCAATGTCTAGATAAGGTTGTACCGTCTCAGCTACTAATGTTAGTCAGTATGTATTGCAGATTCAGCTGTGTACAATATTGACGAGTGTATCACCATCATTTCACTTGTTGAAAGGTATAGAGTTGCTGCAAATGCCGTCATGAAGATGGCGCGATAAATCGCGTGGTAAAGTGATGTCAGTATCTTATCAAAGGAACCCTGACATCGTCACCGATCACTATTTCTGATCACTGCCAACAGGAGAACATGCATCTGCTCAAGCAATTCATGAGTAGGAACCCGGAATATGGTAACCTGTATCGAAATTTTCTGCACTCACTTGAAATCGATGTATAGCGTTTTGGTTCAATCATGTCGAAGAGGCATCACTGAGTAAAATGGAGAATACCTCCTTTCCGGTTGTAAAAAACATCCTCTTTTACATAAAGTTGCAGTAACTTCTCTAAAGTCAAAAAGCAGAATGTGCGAGCCATTGATACACACCATAGGTCGGGTAACTGGTGGCACCACGGTGTCATTGATGAAATTTTCACTATTTGCTTTCGAAATGTCTTGGGAAATACCAGGCAGGGAAAGGCGAATAGTCTGGGACAGTCTACAATTCGAAGTTACGAGACATCTAGGAATTCGAGGAATGCAGAGCAGGCGGAATATAAACCCGAAAGGCCATGAAGATTCCATTTCATTGGGATAGAATTAGAGCCTACCTGCATGCACAAATTATTCGGCTTTTCATAGTGACCAGAAAAATCCCATTTTATCCCTTGTTTAGCGACAAACCCAGCACTGCCTAGGTGACTTTTTGGGTTGCACAGGTGATTTCCATATAGTGCAGCTCTGAGAAACGCAAAGTACACCTTTGGGAAGCGTTTGGAATTGATCGTCATTCATACAGACTACGTAACACTTGACAGGTCTCCCAATTTTTGGCCGGAACTGCTTGACGTTTATAGGCGCATAAAAGGGCTATGGATGCACTGTCGAAAACCATCGTTTTGAGTCTCTAATTTAACGCATACGATATGCTATATTTACCACACGACTCTTTTCCCTCACGATGCGATATGATAATGGCAGGCATAAAAAAGCGATTACCGATTGGATCCCCGAGACATGGAGCCTACTGGTAACTCCCCCTTCCCCAAACTAATCATACCTTTCCATGCACGCTGAACGAGGTCTCCCTGCAAGTCTTGCGCAACTGCACGGTGAACGATGTGAGTTCAGTAGATATTATGCGGACGGGATTTAGCTGTTCAACCTTTCTACTGATTTTCTGCAACGGTGCCAGCTGCCCAGTTCTTTGGATGTTAGATCCAGAACCTTGCGACTAGAAAACCATAGTATTCACGACCAGTATATCACGCAACTAGATCTCGCCGACTGTCGAATATGAAGAAATCAGAAGGCGGAATTGACTTCCATAATAAAAATAGATTATGACAGATTGAACGCGTCATGTTCTCGGGTTCTAATTTGCATCTCTGAGGTTTGCGTATCCAATGATGATAGCTAATCCCACTCCACCACCTTCCCTCTTTCCCACAGTTTCATTAGGCACAAGGTCGTTACGCCCCTGATGCGAATAGGGAATTTCACGGTTCCGAGTTTCTACAACTAAGAAAGTTTCCAAATGCAAACACCATCTAGCCTTTCAGACAATGCTTCAACCAGTGCGAACACTAGCTGGTTCTGTGCCACTTCACTCACCTGAAGAGTTACAAGCTTTTTTTCATGATGGCCCATGTTGGAGATTGCAAACGCCTAGAAATTCTACCGAAATACGCAAAATCAAAAAAAAAGTTTGATGCAGAAACATTCAAAAAAGATGTAGACAAGAGTACGGCACGATACCAAAATCATGTTAGTCTGAGCCAACATCAAGATAGGCACGCTTAACTGCTACATAAAATTTCGCTATTACGAATTCTGTCAAAGAAAAACTTGAAAAACCTTCCGAGCCTTTATCCCTTCATATAGCACTACTAATCATCAAAACAGTCTAAACTCAGAGCCAAAAGTGAACAACATAACTTGTGATGTAAACGTTCTCCTATGGTTAGCGGACAGGTCAATCTACCAAGTAGGACCCGCCCACAACCGTCCAACAAGCAACAGCGACGAGCGACCGGTTAACAATAATGATTCTAGACAAAAGAACTTTTTACATTGTATGTAGAAAACGTTGACGAACGGGGAGAAATGGAACAGCTGTGTGGGGAACTGAACCACAGCGGAAGTTTGTTAGATCCGCTGCAACCAAACAGAGATACATAATTCTACCCGTCTCATTAGCCTAGAACAAGAATAAACAGTCGACGAATAAAATGGTAGGAATTCAAGAGCGAAATAAATAGATCATAAGCACCGCAAAGCGGTAACAAACAACTACTTTCACAGATCAAGCAGCCAGGCCAAGCGCCATTCAACCTTGGTGCCTCGTTAGAGGAGGTATAGCAGGCTACAAAGTCTTGGTGGTATCTTATGTACATCAAAGCGCCAATGAATGTGAAACGGCGACGCAACAGAATGAACACAGGCTAGTACCGGGAGTGCGAACGGATATTAACTAGAATGGAACAAGGAATACCCGCACGAAACGACACAAGACAGCATCATCAGCACCCGCACGTCGGCACACCGTGTAGTAGAAAAGTGTGCACAATCACACCAGAGATCGGTGGGATACAGCAGAGAGAACGAGGACACTCCAACGGTCGCGGACCGATAATAAACCATGACATCCTGAGTAGGCAGACATGACAACTGTTACAAATTGAAAATAGAATGAGAGGAGGAAATGCCTAGAACAAAATGACATAAACATCGCCGACTTCTAGACGCTCACATGTACACACAATTCGAAATATTACTCACTTAAAGCTCTGAATACATATAAGAACAAGTAAGAAACAATAAAAATAAAAAATAATAATAATAGTAATGATGCTACAAAACACAGTCAACTCGCCGACCAAACAATGAATAAATAACGCTCGGAGGTGTTCCACCTCGATTCAATGACATAACCTAGTACTAAGTAATAGAAAAAGAATAGAAAGAGGTACGCAATTTATATGACAGACAGGGACAATAAGCATCGGACTTCAGCAGAACCTGAAATATTCTAGCAATTTCGTGAGTAAAGTTAAAAAAAGAAACAAGACAGTCTTCACAGTTCGCTATGTGAAAATTGCAACGGTTCTTATCCACCGATTGCTTTGTAGGTAGCCCCGGTGCGACGCATGAGACACGCGTGCGGCGATCAATACATCCGGTCATGCACGCAGAGAGGGGCAAGTTCGTCAGAGAGCGTAAATATAAAGAAATTCTGAAGCATAGTCCTCTTTCGTTTAACGAAGTGCTGCATGTGGTCTCGAAGCCACTAACACACGATCCCTCAACCTCCAGGTACCCAGAAGCTATTTTAATGAGCGAACAGCGATCGATGGAAGATTATTAATGAGATCTGAAGAAATCGACGAGGGGCTCTGTTTCGTTGACAAAGAAAGCAGTAGCTAGGAGAGGAAAATAACACCAGAAGACGTTGTACCCTGCACGCTTCAAACCATGAAAACTGCCCGACAACGTATCTTAAGATCAAAAGACGTACTCAGTTCTGCCAGTTGCCGAATCCACGAGCATTCTGATAAGCAGCCTGCTGCTGGAATGAGGGAGCGCCTGGAATGGGACCTCCTGGAGGAGCAAATCCATTCGAAGGCTGGAATCCGCCTCGCGCCATCACTGGAGCACCGAAGTTTGGTTGACCGAATCCCACTGGTGGAACTCCATTGAATGGAGCTACTCCTCCTGAAAGTAACCATCATTACAAAGACGCACAATAAGGAGCCACTAAGTCAAAAACAAGTATGGAAAAGGTTTTACTGACCACGTGGAAAAGCTGGAGCAAAGCGATTCTGTTGCGAAGTGTAACCATTTTGTTGCTGAGGGTAACCACGAGGTGGCTGGCCGAAGCCGTTCATTGCTCCTATGGCAAATGGAGGACCAAAACCATTCTGGATTGCTGGCGGAACACCTTGCGGGCCACTGTACGGAAGAAACTATGTCTGATATGGACTCTCTAGAACACGGAAAACAAACCTGTATCCAACACGGCTTCCCATGGTGCCGACAACACCTCGCCGCTGATCTGTTCCACCAAAGCGCCTGTTTGTTTGACGATTATTTCCAGGCGTTCTTCCCTCGGCAGCCATACGCAGAAGAAAATCTGGCACTTCCTGATTAGATTCCCCCAAAAGCTGGGATAAATCACGAGCCAGCGCACGATTCTGTAAAATTCAATTGCTCATAAATTACAAAGCGAGCAGTTCATCTTTCAAAACCAGCTCGCCTTCTCGGTGAAAAAACTGGTAGCGCGTCCTGTGTTACCGCAGCGACCTGTTCTTCCAATACGATGAACGTACTCGTCTATGTCACCAGGAAGGTCGTAATTAACAACATGCCTCACATTCGGAATGTCAAGACCACGGGCAGCAACCTAAGAAAAAAAGAAGTAGAATGTCGCTGCACTGAATTGAGTTGGAATTGAACAAAAGCCAGAAAAGAAAAGTTAGTTCAAAAGGTACCGCTGTTGCTACGAGAACTGGATTAGATCCGTTTCTGAAAAGCTCCAAATTGCGTTCTCTTTCGAACTGCTTTAGGTCTCCATGAATGGCCACAGCGCTAAGATATCGAAAAATAACGACAAATCAGCAACAAAAAAAAACAAAAACAAAGCCACAGTACTTGATCTGTTGACGCTGAAGTATGTTGGCTAAATCATTCGCTCCCCGCTTTGTTTCAACAAATACCAGCACTAGTGAAGCATTCTCTGAAACGTATGTTATGAAAAAGAGTGAATGAAACAGATAGAAATTCTCAAATTAGAAAAATAACCCGAAAAAAGGAGCAAAAAATTAAAGATAGAAGAAGGATTGCAAACAAAACAAGTGACAGAAAAAAAAAGCTACTATTTTACCTTCTCTGGCTAGAATATTCATTAGCATCTTCCGCTTGTCGAACTCTTCCACCAACAATATCTGCTGATCGATATTCTCAGATGTTGAACCAACCCGTCCAACAGCCAAAAATACATAGTTTGGCTTGAGGAAATCTTGCGCAAGTGTCTGTAACGAAAGTCCATTTAGCACTGCTTCCAACTCAATTTCATGCACCTGTTTTGCATACTTGGATTTGCTTGGGAAATGTAGCGCTAAACATCGCCGTGATTCGCTCGGATTTTGGGGGCATTCCTTGACCAACAATTTTTCGGATCTGCGGTTCGAATCCCATATCCAGCATACGATCAGCTTCATCGAGCACCAGATATCGACATCCTGCCAGTCCAATGTAACCCTNAAGCGAGAGGATAGAATAGTGCGGCGGACCCTTAAGCTTAGGATGTGAGCAGAAAGCGAAGCGAAAATTTCACAGAATATTATGCAATTAAAACGGACCTGGTCAAGGATATCAATCAGTCTACCAGGAGTGGCAATCAAGATATGACAACCTCCACGTAGGCGATTGATCTGCTCGCGATAATTCTCGCGCCCACCATATAAGATAGCGGTAATGATATTGGTGCGATAACTAAACTTCGCTGCTTCCTGAAAAATTTACTTTCAAAGAAAAATCTGAATTCAAATAATGCCATTTTTGACCTTGTGTATCTGAATTGCCAATTCTCTTGTTGGTGCGAGAACAAGAGCTGCAGGATAGAAAGTACGGCGACCTGAGCTCGACGTGACGGACTGCAAAATACCAACTAGTATCACAAACAATCGAACAAAATCAATTGTAGATATACCGGACGAATTGCTTCCGGACCGTTGACCAGAATGTGGTGAATGATTGGTAATAAAAACGCAGCAGTTTTCCCGGACCCGGTTTGAGCACAGGACATGAGGTCACGATTACCCAACAGTGTGGGAAGTGAATATTTCTGAAACCACATTAACATTCGATCCACACAATAAACCCACTAACTAGAATAGAATATATTCACTCCTGCTAGGAATTCGAAAGATCGAGGAATCTCAAACAATTCAAAAGCTATATCAAAAGCTTTTCATATCAATGCATTTCTTCAAACCGTTACGTATCGTCGATACCACAATTGAGCATTTTATCTATCTGATCTTTTGAAAAACTATTTCAAAAAATTACCTGAACTGGAGTAGGTTTCCTATAACCACTTTTGTCAACATTTTGCTGAATCCACTCATGCATGTTAGCGTCGGTGAACTAAATGGACAAATACAATCAATGGAAGCATCAAAGCTCTCGTCTAAAAAGTGTGAGTACCCTAGGGGATTAGCACCAATCTCAACAATAGGAGACATTCAGGAGACGTTTGTCAAGGAAGAACATCGGTAGAGCAAACGGGTTATGCTTGTGACTACAGATCTTTTATTAACATTAAGGCACATACTAAGATCAAGCACATTCCTGGCTCCTCCATCAATTATATATCATGGGTCAGGAAGTTGGGAGAATGGTGATATAATGGTGTAACTTCTACCTCTTACCCATTGTAAAACGTATGCTCATTGTTTACTGACACCTTTACATTCGTTCACAATTGTCAATAAACAGGGATGGGCATAGTGTGGTTTCCATGGCCTAAATATGACGCATCGGCAATTTTGATGGGACAGAGCAAATTTGCCTCACTTCAAGCACCATACAAAAAGAATGAATCCACATCAGACACTGAGGGATTCCTACAAGCCTTAAAACATAATCAACAAAACGAGTGCCTGCGACGTCGTTACTACGCCACTATGGAAGCATCTCGAGAAAACTCGAAAAAAAGCAAATACACTCACCGCAGTGATCGCTTCAGGGGGATTTTCGCCACTCACTTCGACGGGAATGCTTTCGTAATTGTCAAAATTGATGCCACTGTTCATATTATTGAAAAGTTGCCTTAAATGTTCGTTAAAATAGCTGACTAGTTATATTTCAAACAAAATTTTCAAAATATGGAAACAAAGCTCCCTATAAGTATTCAATAAACCCACTTCTCAACAGAATCGGTGCCGGCTGTCTGGCTGTTCCAATTTCCAACAAAATCACCACTAAACATAGCACTATGATTTTATTGATAATATCACTTTTTAATAGTCAATTAAGACGGACCAGTTCTTGTCCTTTGGATCGAACGTGCCTCCAAAACCTTTCGTCACATAACCTGCCGTAACGCCATTACTGTACTCCGAAGTCATCCCATTTATTCCACATGGTGGCTGTGTATACCCATTCTGGTACACATTATGCTGCGGTGGCTGATACCCATTTTGGTAGCTGGAACTGGTACCTTCCACAAACAATGAAAACTGGACAACATCAACAGTAACAATGCAAGACAGTCCTATGTTACTCCTTTCGTTGAGCTCTTCCCCATTCGGACTCGAGTAAAACCAATTGAGAAATGCGTTGCAAACCTTTTTTTTAAAATTAACGAGCAAGAAGTTTGAAATACATTCCCATTCGTGCACTGCAAATGTGCAGTTTTTAGCATACGGATATGGGGAGAAATGGAAGTGAGCCTTTGCAAGAGATGGAACAGCACTGATGTTTAACGAAATTGCCAAACAAGGCAAAAATGAGAATAAGTCTTCTTAGATACAGGACAGTTATTCAAAAATTGGTTGGACAAAGAGAAGAAATAGAAGACATTCCAAACACGAAACGACGTTCGGATTCAGATTATCTCCCAAAACTTTTCTACCTAATCACAACTCGGGTAAAGCTGCGATTTAACGTACATTATTCGTTGAGCTACAGCGTTACCCTAATCGTAAGCTGAACTTTGGCTCGAAGAAATCGTATCTCCCGCAAAATCAATCATTGCCTCCCGTTCAAAAGGAAAACTTTGATGTCAATGTAATGTTATATTTTCCCTAGTGATTGTAACTATCACATAGTTGACTTTTTTTTCGACTCCCCTTGTCATAAAGCGTTTCTCAGAAGTGTTCGGGAAGTTTTTCGTATCCGTTCGTTCTATCAAAGCCAGTCACGGAGAAGTGTATAATTTCAATTACCTTAAACCGTGAAAGAAAAAATAATTGAAAACCATCAGTGTTTTCAAGAACCACGATTCATTTCAAATCTTGTAAAGCAGCGTTTGAGGAATAAGCCCAGCCGTACTAAAATCGTATTGGGCAAGAAGTAGCACTTCCAATTTTACGACCACACCTGTAGGCAGCTAAAGGAATTGCTAGTCAGAATCACTAGACCCATTAAACGGGAAATAAAGGACACAAATTAGAGGTAGATAAAAACTAGTTCACATGGCTTCATAACATACATTCGCTATTTACAAACTACTAGTTTTGTGATCCAGTCCGCTTGAGCCGCCTTTTAGCCGTTACCCTAAATCAAAATTTGATTTCGTCCGGTTACAATGAGTGAACTTATATCCATCTATACGATAACATTGCCGATGAGATTGTAACAAATGTTAACCTTGCCTCTGGAACGGCTCTGGGCAGAATTGCCGCTTGTAAAGAAAAGAATAAGTCAGCGGAATATACCGGTAGATCGTCGAAATAAGTAAGCTGTGGTTGAAATAGAACAAGTCAATGATACAACCGTATCCCTTGATATTGACGACTATTTGGTTCATCATGAGTTTCGCACTTCGCACTGCTCCGCCCAAGCAGTATATACCATGCCAACTACTCAAACTCTTTGGCAGACTACCAAAAAAATAGCATGCCTTTCATTGAAGGACACGGTCCTAAACGACTTTACTGGGTAGCGAGAACGATGAAGGTAGTTGAAATGGAAAGAAGGTATGTTCGATATTCATTGTTGGAAGTAGACAGTATCACCAAGATGGTGTTACAGCAACTAATTGCACTGGTTTTTCTAGTCAATTGCATGCGAGTGCTTCCAGCTCATCGGTTATAGCACACATTCGACACTTCACATGCCACCCCTTCAATCTTGTTCATGGTTGCTGTTCGACCCCGAGGTTCTGCCCTGCCCTAGCCCAAAAGTGAATTGTCCCGATGCTTGCTACTCGGACATAACGTCCCTTCAGAGGACATTAAACGGACTTTAGCAACAACCTTTTCTACCTAGAACCTTACTTGTTATAATGACTGGCTGGGTTCAGAGCAGAGCAGGTAGCGGTTACCGTCTATTACTTCGATGAAGGCACTGATAATTTTCGGTTTGTTGTAGCTCAGAAGAAATTCGGTAAAAAAGGGACAACACTGAGCCGATAAGGTTTCGTGCACTATACTGGACTTAACGAGAGCCCGCTCATGCCCCGAACAATTTTTGCAGCTCTGAGACGAAAACGACTTGGTGCTCGCAGATATTTCATTAGTCTAGCACAAAAGATTGTTCTGATCCAGACTTGCTGGATTGCATAAGAGAACTAAAAATCACCTCCACTCAGTGTCACGGAGTAGGGACCGGACCGACTTCGAAGGGATTCCTTTTTACTGATGCAGTTTCCCTGCGAATCTGTCTATATCTTACGCGCTTCACACCTGCTTACATCCCAAGGCACTGTTTTTACTCACTGCTAGTAGTTTCTACATTCGTTAGAATTGAATGATGGGAATGAAGCAGTTCGAACAAAAGAAAAGGTGTACCTAGGAGGTGGGCCACCGTTCGACGGGAAGGCCATTGTTTGACCATAACCAGGAGGAGGGATGGTGTAGCCGTTCACAGGCTGACTGCCGTAGTCGAATCCATTCGTGGCGGTCGCGCCTCCGCCACCATTCCCGAAACTGGGATAACCTCCCCGGACTCCAACGGGAGGCACATCGGCCCATTGTCTGAAAGTGATCAAGTCTGAATCTCCCGTGCTGCAGAGTTGTTAATATGGGGTATTAAAAAGGAAAATGACATAAGGCACCCCGTTGTCGTCAAGGTGCATAAAAAATCGATAAGAACGTTGAGATGGCGAAAGCGCCAAGATACTCACCCCGAGGTCTGTGAACTGTAGAAAGCCTGCTGGGCTGTGGTCGAGTTCATCACGTAGTACTCCTCACTCAAACCTTCGAAAAACTTCTTCCGTTACCAGACACGAAGACGACGACCAACAAGCACCAGCGCGCGATGTGAATAAAAATAGAGGAGCGGAAAACCGCGCCGCGTCTGCAATACACGGAACGAAACGCCAACTTACACACTCCCCTTGGGTACCTGTGTCTCATCGTTGCCCACACAATACCCATATTGCGCTTACCAGTTCTGCAGTTTAACAGTCTGCTTTTTATCGTGGTTATCACTTCAACAGGAACGCTTTCGCCCCTTATTTGGTTCCTGCGGAACCGAACACTGCTCAAGGGAAAAGACGATTTAACGGAAGACGTTGGCATGGAAGCTGACGCGTTCTCTTTATTTAACGGGGTTCTGCTTAGTAATATTGCGATACATTTGTACTATTAATGATTATCAATCGAAAGAACGCGGATGAATCTCCTACCATCACGCTGTTGCCCTGGTAAATATATTACTAATTCTTGGAGGGGGAGTGGGAAAGGTGCACACGTCCTACATTCCCTTCAGTAGGGGAAAGGAACTTCAAGCTTGGAAACGAGCCCAAGGAACAAGTGGCGCTGCGGTTCGAGATGGTTCAGAACAATGTTTGTACTTCAAAATACGTGTAATAAGGGAGATCTTGACATGTTCTGCCTTGGAAATGTTCTTCTCACCAATGCATCTTCCCCTGAACCTGAAAGTTCACCAAACATAGGGACCTGGGCGGGAAGGGAACGGACGCTCGTAGGGAATGATTTCATTGAGCGCTAATTTGAGTTCTAAATCGAGCTGTGTGTCAAACTGGTGGCGGTGGAGCAGAAAAATGATAGCGTTCCGTATTGTGTAGGGTTATCCTATACGACTGAAACTGGGAGTTCAGAGCGTTCAACTTTACCTATAGCCTCGAATATATATGCCCGACGCAGTGGGAGGTATCACAGGATACAATGAGATCAT